AAAATCGGAAAATTTTCTGAAAATTTTCTAAAATAAAAATCCGGAATATTTTCGGAATATAATAATAATATTTTTTTATAGGGATACACCGGTCCTCGTTCGGTTTTTGCTAGTTTTCCAGTGACAATCTTTTACGTAGTGCCGTCAAAGATCTGTACTACCTCTCTACTCGGGTCTTGCCAAGCAGGCGTCCATCTTTCCAGTTCCTTGGATTAACATGATCTGGAACATTTCGTATATCTCATATATTACACAAATGCTCTATGATCTTTCAATCTTGTTGATACCACCAAGGTTACAGAGATCCCGTTCCAACTGATCATTGAAAGACAGTAGCCATCGTACAAGTAGAATATTCGAAATTCGTCGCGGTGGGTTTCGAACCCCCTACCTGGCCGACATATCGCTTGGGGGTGCGACAACTTAACCACTTCACTAAGTCACCACACCCTATATTAATGATTTAATAGTATTTCAAAAATATATATCATTAATGAAATGAAAAATTACTGAGTCTATAAAGCAGAAGTCTATTACAGACTTTTTTAATATAGAGAGTCAAACCATATTACTTGATAGTGAATATTCTCTTAATAAAGCAAGTTTTTTCTATGACAATAGGTTCTCTAGTAATGACAATAACTTTCCTAGTAATAATTTTTCTAGTGATAGCTTTTCTAGTAATGATGACTTTCTTGGTGATGATAACTTTTCTGATAATAACTTTACTGATGACAATGATTTTTCTGGTAATAATTTTTTAGATTACAGTAGTTTTCTTGATAACTATAGCAGCTTTCCTGATGATTATAAATATTAATTTGTGTAATAATAAAATGTTTAGAATAGTTATTTTTTATTATAAATTCTTGGATTTATTAAAGGATCAGATTATTAAACAGTAGTTTATCAAAAATATGTAATTATTATTTTGAAGTTACATTATTACTACATATAAATTGTATACAGTAGAATACACTTGAAATAAGTGTGTATTTAAAATAAATATATACATTATATCTTTGGCACAGTATATATTGAAACTATAGAGAGACAATAAATGCTTTGAAGCAATAAAATTTTAATTACTTATACTTAAATGCTTATCAAAAATTCTGTAATAGAGTTAAAATCAAATGAAAATATAGACTAAATTAAAAAAAGAAAGCATTTTATACTTTTTTTTTAGATAGTACTAATATTTTACTATTTGTTTAAGTTTTAAAGCTTTAGCCCATATGCGTTTTTAGTTTGTACATATATTAGATCATATGAAAATAGATATTTACAAGCAACAGCAGTAGTTAGCAAAAGGGTTTAGATAAGTATATACATGAGTTTATTAGATTATGGTATAGTTAAAATAAAAATTATTAATATAGTAATATTTTGTCTATTCTAGATTCAGTAAGTTTTAATAGAGATTTATATATTACATTACTAGGAATATATTAAATTTAAAGGAAAATGAATATTTTATTTAATTATAAGAAAATAGTATTCTATTACTAAACTTGTTCAACTTTTATTATTAAGTCTTTTACTAAAGCATTATTTTTTTCTATTTTATGCATTACTCAATTTATCTTCTTCAAGTACTTCATTTCATAATTTTCTTTTAGTTTATTAATAATCTCTTGGTAGTTACTTGATTGTTTACAATCGGCCATATATTAATTATCTGATGTAGTTTTTTAAAATTTTGTATATATTGTAATGGGAAACATTATCTAAAAAATGTTACCTAAAGCTATATGATACAGGACCTTAAAGACGTATTTGATTGAAATAAGAGAAGATATTTAATAAATATCAATTCAGGTTTGGCTTGAGGCAAAGCTCAATTGCAAACAACAGTAAGATGTCTCTGGTATTCAATTAGTAGGAAATATTTTTGTGAATTACTTATTAAGCTTATAGGATACATCTTAAATATAATTGTGAAGCTCTAATGTGATTCTTAATATTTATAAATCTACCTATTTCATATAACTTAACAAAAAAAAAATCCTATTATTAATAAAGATAATAAAAACCAACCTAACTATACTTCAGAAATTCTAATAGTAATAGGCTCTTTAGTTTCTGAACCAAATCTTCCATGATTTCTTTTGAGTAGCCTTAATTATACTCTATATTTTTATTATATTTTTGTTATAAAAATATGATAATCCGAATCCACTCTTCACAATATATATACATACGTATATGTACCCTGAGCAGGACTAATAATTTTCTGTAGTAATATTTATTTTTAAATAACCACAGAAATCATCAGCCTTACTCTGGAGCTTTCAATATGTGATAATAGATTTATTATATATATGTACATCTAGTTAGACTAATTGTTTGTATACATATATATTATCCTTCTATATAATCATGTTAAAGCAAATAAAAATAACTATTATAATTAAAACTAGTAGTGTAAACTTGTTAACAAAATTATTAATTTACTAGTAAAAATATTTGTAAAAAACTGATTTATCTCATATATTAATTATTTTTTCTAACAAGTTATATTTAAGTAATAGTGATTATAAGCAAATTGTAATTATATAGAAGTATTTTTATAAATAAAAAAATTGTATTAAAAATTTGTATGATTATATAGAAGTTGTGAAGTATAGGAGTTAATTATAGAGGAGGAAGACTGTATATAAGTTTTGATTGTTAGAAATAAGAAGATATTTGTTAAAAGTAATAAATTTGATTAGAGTAGAAAATTTAATTAATAAAGAATAAAGAATCTGATATATTTGGTATTTTGAATTGTGGGAAGAAAAGATCAGTAGAGATTTTTAAAATTTGGAGTTTTTTTGTAATGTATTGTATAGCTTGTGGCAGATAAGATTGATAGTACAGTTGACCCTTGTTAGTATCAACCTATTTGGATCACCTTTATATTCATGTTGATAGTGATATTAATGAGAGTTTATATTAAAGTTGAT